CCACGAGTGGCTGAGAGTGAGAGAAGCGAGGCCTCAGAGGGAAGGCAGGGAAGGTGAGGCGGGACTGAAGGCAGGAGACAAAACCACTAGAAAGAACAGAAGTGAGGAAAGAAAGCAGAAACAGAAGATGGCAAAGGTGGTGCTTTGAAAACATTATGCTGCGTGCAGGAAGCCGGGTACAACAGAGCACGGGCCCTGTGGAATGCCCAGGGTAGACTCACTACACAATCAGGAAGTAAGCCAGTGATGGGACAGGCAGGGATTGGGCAGGTGGCAGCTACAGGGTATAGGGAATGTGGTTTCTCTGTGGGGGGTGAAAATATTCTGCAATGGATTGGTGTGATGGTTGCACAATTCTGTGTATACCAGGAGCTTGACTATACAGAACACACATACACGCTGACCCATACTAGGGGACTTCAAAATGTTCTTGGAAAAAATAGATGTAAAACAGCCATTTATTTTAGGGCCAAACACAGTTGCACTGTGGATTAAGTCTCTGCTTGGGATACCTGCATCCCATACAGAATGCCTGCTTCAAGTTCTAGCTTTCCTGCTTCTGATCCAGCTCCCTGCGGATGCTCCTGGGAATCTAGTGGACAGAAACCTCCTCTGCATAGATTGCATAGACTTTTTCCCCCCACCTAAATAAATTGATCTTTTAATTCTGTCTTCCATGATGTGTTTGAAGTCCCCTCGTGTACTTTAAGTGAGCGCAGTACATAGTATGTGATGTTGTGTCTCAATCAAACTTATAGGAGAGACAGAGAATTGGATGGTGGAGAATAAGCCAGCACATATGCCAGGTCCCCACTTCATGCCAGGAGTCATACATGAGCCTGTGTTCTTGTCTTGGCTCTGCCAAATGAGCTTGGAAGCATTGCTGCGTTGCAGGCGATGGGACAGAGTGGCCAGTAAAGCACAGGGGTTGTGATTCCTGCAGGACTGCCTAATCCATCCACCCACTATGGGTAGTGAGGAGGGACAGCCCGGGTGGCCTCAGAGGTGGGGGGAAGGCCAGGACCCCAGTGCTCAGGGTTCCCCCCATCCTTTGGGGTTGGGGAATTCTCATCAGAACAGTTGAGAGGCCAAGCGGTGTAAGCCAGCACCTTTGGGCTTTTGTAGGGTTAAGCTGGCTTAGGCCTGCGGGGGAGACTTCTCTTCTAGTCATGTACTTCTTTTACTCCAACAGATGTCCCCGCCTCAATTTCCCAGACAGAACTGGGGGCAGAAGTCAGGGAAAGCTTCCTCCTCTCTGTCGTGTCCCCAAGCCAGGACATGCTGTGGGGCCATAGCAGGTGTGGGCAGCTCTGGATGCCGACTGCTTTTCTGTACTATTGGCCTACACAGAGTGGTTGCACCCTCCTGGGCTGGGGGACACGGTGGGCTGTTCTCACCCTCAGTGCTGTGAGCCACAGGTGGCACCGAGTGTTGGTGGGAGAGCCGCCCCGAAAAGGCTCAAGGCTGGAAGGGAACCGCGAGTCTTGGGCTCTTACTAGGTACCTGGAATTCTGTTCCTAGAATCTGGGTTTCCTGATCTCTTGTAGTCAGATTGTATCCTTGGGACTTTCAGGGACTTGGTACAAGCATGAACTCGCTCATTCATGCAGCAATACTTCTGAGCCTGCTCTATGCCAGACACAGGGCCCAGACCCAAGAGTGCACCCCACAGACAAGAAGCAGGTGTGTCAGAAGGGAAGTGAGGAGTGTGGAACAGGGGGAGGCCACTGGAGGTGGACCTGTCGAGGCCATGTCCTTGTCACTCAAGAACATCACTATATATGCCACAAGTGACCTTGGAGGGGTGATCAAACTAAGGGACCTGAGATGGAGAGATTATCCCAGACTGTCCAGGGACCTAAGGAGGACACACGTGTCCTGTTCAGAGGGCCAGAGGGCATTCAGCTCCAGAAGAGGAGGTAGGAGTGAGTGAGGAGGGGCCTGGGAGTGTGGGTGCAGGACACACATACACACAGACATACACAGAGACACAAACACACACACACAAAGACACACAAACACACACAGAAACACAGAAATGCAGACACACAGGTATACACACAGACACACACTTGCAGACATACACATATACACATGTGCAAACACATACTCAGACAGGCACACTCTGTCTGTACAGACACACACACACACACACACACATGCACACACAGCACTTGCCAGTGTGGGCTAAATCAGTTCCCTTTAGAATCTTGGCTCAGGCAGATACCCCAAGCTGGGCTGCGATAAGGGCTTGGGGTCAGCAGCAGCCACTCTTGTCCCGAGACAGAGAGCAGGAAGGACATGCTATCAGCCAGCAAGGAGCCAGCCTTATCAAGGGACACATGTGTCTCTGACCCCTGTGGCAGCCTCTGGAACATGGTTGGGGCTGGGAAGGGTGTTGAGGGCTGGGAATTAACCTCTGGCTGTTCTTGACCTGCTGGCCTGCTCCCAACACTGCTGTGAGGTCCTTTGGCTGGTTCTCCACGGACCAGGGGAGGGGCGGAGGCGGCAAACCCTGGCTGGGGATGCACAGGGGCTGCATGTTCCCAATCTGCCTCTGTGGTGGCTGTATGTGACCCAAGGGGGCACCGCCCCCAGGGGGTTCGGGAAGCCAAGACGGATGTCAGACGTGTGGTGTCCCTGGCACCAGGGGACAGTCCATCTTTGGTGACTCTGGTTCTTTTGGGAACTTTAGCTGTGTCACTTAGGGTTTCCTGAGCCTCAGCTGCGACTATGAAGCATGGATTAAGTAATCCCTTAGACACAGTGCTATGTTAAGATTGAAATGAGGTCCTAAGCTCAAGAGCCCAGTCCTACCATGGACGCACGGGTCATTCCCTTTGTGCTAAAAAAAAAAAAAAGCTTAGCCCAGAGGTCTGCCCTATGAGCTGCCCCTTCTGGAGTGGGATGCACCAGTTCCCTTCGGATGCCAGGCATGCTGGATGTCCATCCTCGGCACTGGCTGCCTTGGACCATTGCCAATTTGCTCTTTCACAGGATACCGAGCAGTCATAGTGCCAAGCACAGGCATCTATGTCGAAGGCTGGGCATGGACTCCGTGTCCCTGGACACTCGGTGCACCTGATTTGAGGGCTGGGGGCAGGAGGTCTCACACTATGAGTGGTGACCAGAAATGATGCCGAAGCCTCATCACATGCTCCATAAATGTGGGCTACGTTGCTAAGTGCTGGTTGAGTGAGTTTTCTTAAAGATTAGTGTTAAAAGGCTGCTTGTTGATTTTGGTCAAACAGGGGAGCACAGAATGAAGTGATATGCAGGACTAAATTGCAGAGGATCATGGCTTTCTATCTGTAGTCTTGGAGTTTCTTTCCCTCTTGCTTTGTGAACCCCACTGGCTTTGCACTGAGGGATGTGGTCAGATGGGCATATTCTCTTTCTGAACAGGATGTGGAAGGCTCTAGATGTGCCTGGAGAAGGGACACCTCTGAGGTGGCTTGCAGGACGATTTTGAAGTGGGGCGTATGGCAGTTGGGAGGACACTGCCGTTAATGTTTTCCTTAGTATGGACATGCAATGCTTGAGAGGGGACTTCTATTCTGTTGGTGGATCATAGCATCTCCTTAAGGCCTGTAGCACCTGCTCACATTGCTCAGCTCCTGTGAGCTTCAGGCCACTTGGAGAGGTAAGTAGGAAGGGCTGGCTGCATGAAGATGCCCCACTCTGAACTCCCAGAGGGGGCAGAGACTTGCCTAGAGCTTGATGTCAAGGTCGTCCCATTGACTTTGCATAACTCCTCACCACAGACACCACCCCAGATGTTGTTTCTGCATCCCTGGCATTCAGCATGGGTCCTGGCACAGAAGTGGGTATCTGAGGAATGGTTGCAAATGAGCAAAAGAAACAAAGGAATGAGTGTGTGGATGGACGGACGGACAGATGGATGGATGGATGGATGGATGGATAGATGGATGGATGGATGGTTCAATTCCACAAATCGGCATTCTGAAGGAAAAGAGGGGCAGTCGCATTGTCTACGGGAAGAGAAGGGAAGGCAGCATTTATTGAGCAACTGCTGGTTGCCAGGCGTTCTTTGAGCATTTTGGCATTCATTGCCCTTGCCAACTAGAGCCCAGCCCAGTAGCTGCCTCTGCATCTGGCGGGCATTTCCAGGGACTCTCAGGTCTCGAGTGTGCTTTCTGTCATCACCCTGCACTGGCTCTGTTGCCTGTGACGTCATCCAGACCTCATTCTGACTCTGTCGGCTGGGACATCTCTTGGAAGTGGAGTCCTCCTTGCATCTCTTTCATGATCATCATCATCGAATAATCTCCTAATTTGCCTTTCCTTCTCTTTGCCCCTCTCCTGGAAGCACACAACACAGTCCCCTAACTGATATCCCTATTTGCAGACTGCCAACCACCCTGCTCGCCGATGCTGGCCCACGTCTTAGGGGCCACCAGAGCTTTCTTGTCAAAGCACAGGTATGCCACAGCTGCCCCTGCTTTTGCAACAGGCCTGTCCCTGCTAGCCAAGCATTGGGACCCACCTTTTCTACCCCATCATCCTCTTTCCCCTCTAACTGGAGCACTCCCACAAGTGGGAGCGGATGCCTAAGAGCAGGTGTTCAACAAATGCTGCCTCGAGCTCTGGTTTCACATTTAACCCCACCACAGCCCAAGTGGGTGACAGCACCAGTTCACGGCACTTTGAGTGCCATCCAGGACCCCCACGTGGCAGCCTTGTGCCTAGGACTCTTGGAGGGATAATGTAGCAACAATGTAGAACAAAGGATTTATCAGTTCTGGGAGTGAGAAATGCCAGCATTGTGGCCCTGGGATTTCATTGCTCCAAACAGAGGAAGACTGAGATCTGCCTTGGGGATGGCAGACATTGGGTGCATTAAATGAGACAGTGTTTGCCATGTGCTCACTAGAGTTCCCGGCACAAAAGCCAGCAGCTGCCTTCACCATGGTCAGCCTTAGTGTGACGGTTCCCCCCTCCCAGGGACCCCATCCTCTACATAGTCACAAGAACTATACCTGTCTGTGACTCCCTGGGGTGCTGTGGCTTCTGTCCCACTCCACACCTGGAGTTTCAGGGGCGTCTCTTCCTGCTGCCTGGGCTCGCGACTCTGGCTCCTGGATAGCGTGTTGTTCAACCTCAGGCAAGTCTCCTGGGAGTTGCGTCCTGCCATCCTGCAGCAGAAGAGCTGCTGGTAGGCGGTGCGGAAGTCTCTGTTGAGGGCAGCGTACAGGATGGGGTTCAAGGCTGAGTTGGCATAGCCCAGCCACAGCACAACGGCCTCCACCACCTCGTTGATGGCCTCATCCCCTTTCAGCCCACGGTAGACAAAGGCAGTGAAGTAGGGGAACCAGCAGATAATGAAGGCCCCCATCACGGCGGCCAGCGTCACCGTGGCTTTGTGCTCCCTGATGGTGGCTGCTTGCCAGGTGCTGATGTGGTTGATCCTCCTGGCCTGTTCCCGGGCGATCTTGAAGATGCGGTAGTAGGTGACACACATGATCAGCAGGGGCAGGTAGAAGGTGACCAACCCGTCCACCAAGCCGTAGACCTCATTGACCTGGAATTTGCACTTGGGCGTGGTGTGATTGCCCTGGATGGTCCCGCTCCTGTTATTCCAGCCCAAGTGGATAGACAGGAAGGACAGGGTGATGGAGATGACCCAAATTAAGATCAGCGAGATGGTAACCCGGACGGGGGTGACCAGCACAGGATAGCGCAGCGGGTCCATGACGGCGCAGTAACGGTCGATGCTGATCATGAATAGGTTCAGGATGGAGGCCGTGCAGAGCATCACGTCCAGGCTGATGTAGATATTGCAGAAGACCTTGCCGAAGCTCCACTTGCAGGACAGCTGGTGTATGGCCGAGAAGGGGAGCACCAGGAGGCCAAGGAGCAGGTCGGTGATGGCTAGAGACACGATGAAGCAGTTGGTCAGGCTGCGGAGCCGACGGTTGAGGCCCACGGCCAGGCAGACCACCACGTTGCCAGCGGCAGTGATGAGAATGAGGACCGAGAGGACCAGACTGAGGGTGACCTTGAATGCGGTTGATTCCAGGCAAGAGGAGGAGGCTGTGTTACTGGCTGTGCCATTGGGCTCCATCCTGGGACCCTCCAGTTCCTTCCTTCAGCTTCCCAGAGCATCAACCGTACCAAGCACTGGGCTTCTGGGTCCTGGCAGAGCCCAAACAGGTGTACAAATTTTGATGGGCCTTTGATCCCTGACTCAGTATCTCCTCTAAATTGTTAGACGTGGATCTCAACAGAGATGAGGGGAAGGCAAATTTTTGGAAGCCGAGTGTTTAGCTCAAACTGCAGTCCTGAGATGGTCCCCTGTTGAGTCAGCTTCTTCCTGCATGTGGGATAGGTTTCTACCCTCCAGGTTTTGCATAGAGACAGAGGCACCAGGGCACGCGTCTGGAGGTGGCTTTGGTTTTATGCAGGAAGGGTCAGGTGAACTTGTGGCCATGTCCTCCTTCATCGCTAGCATCTGGATTTTGTGTTCTCTCTTGGGTCGGGGGAGTGTCCAGAGAGCAGGAGCTAAAAAGCCAAAGGTTGAGTATTGAGCACTTTGAGACCAGACCGAGAGCATGACCCCATTCACAGCGGGTCCTTCTAATTTTTCACTTCTCACCCAGAAACTGACGAGTAGAGGCTGCTCTGGTACCAATCCTTAGGAGAGAGCGAAGCCATTAGGATACACAACAGGGGATGGGAAGAGAAGCGGGTGCCCGAGGCAGGAAGCATGTTAATCTACTGGACAAAGAATCATCTAGTACATATGATCTATCTACTCCAGGAGAACTGGGGTTACCGCTGTGTGCTCATGGCTGGCCCCACGGGTTGGCATCAGTTGAACAAACAATACAATTAAGAAGTGAATAAGCACCTGCAACAAATTTACTCCCACAAAGTACTGAGAGCAGCTTGGGTCTCGCTGTTGTTTCAACCGCCTTCGTTTTAGTCTAAAGTAGGGGGCTGGCACATGTTGGCAGACAAGGGCCAGGTGGTGGGCATAGTCTGCTGTGCAGCCAGCATGGCCTTTGCTGCCAAGAGCCGCCAAGAGATGGCACGTTAGATGAATGCGTGTAGCAGCATCCCGATCACACCATAACGGAGTCTTCATGTGCTGCAAAACTCTTCTTTCGGTTTTCTCCAGTGATTTAAAAATATTAAGTTCAGGAGTGGTGGGGCTGGCCTCCTGGCACTATAAATTGAAGTTTTTATTTGTGACTTTGTCCGAGTCCTGGCTGCTCCACTTCCAATCCAGATACCTGCTAATGCAACTGGGAGGTCAGCAGCAGGCGGAATAAGTGCTGAAGCCGCTACCACCCACGTGGGAGACCTAGATGGAGGGTCTGGAACCTGGGTTTGTCCTGCCCAGCTCCTGCCATTGCATCATCTGGGGAGTGAATCGCAGGTGGAAGATCTCAATATTTCTGTGACTCTTTCTGTAAGGCAATCAATTTTTAAAAAATGAGGAGGGGACAGTTAGCCTATACTAATAACGTGTGTCCTGCATCGGGATTCTTGGGTTCAACTCCCAGCTCTGGCTCTGACTTCAGCTTCCTTTCAATGCAGATCCTAGAAGGCAGTGGGGCTTGCTCCAGGGACCGGGACTGCTGCCCCTCATGGCGAGGTCTCAATTCAGTTCCAGGCTTCAGGCTTCAGGAACCACCTGGCCTGGTCCCAGCCCTGTGTGGGCATGGGCAAATAAAATCAGAGACTGGAAGCACGTTCCTGTGCAGGCACTTTCTCTTTCCCCAACACTTTTAAAAAACATTTTAAAAGTAGAAACACTAATAGACATTCCTAGAGGCTAGGAGGGAAGGAAGGAACACGAGTTTGGATAATGGGACCCAACCAACAGCTAGGTTGGAAGAATTGGCTGTAATGTTATAGATAGCACAGTAGGGTATAACCATAAGTCTTCACCATTTAATTGCAAATTTCAAAATAATTAGAGGGAGAAGAGTTTGAAGGTCTCCAACACCTGGACATCATACTTGAGAAACTGGAACTTCTCATGACCACGATTCGATCATTACACACGTATATGTGTATCAAATTATAACAGACTCCATAAATAAGCAAAAATATTATCTGTTGACTAAAACATGTTAAAATCAGGCTTTCTGTCTCTTCTTTTCTATAAATCTGCCTTTACCACAAAATAAATAATTCTTTAAGAAAAATTTAAAAAAAAAGAAAAAGGGGCTGACACAATGGCTCAGTTGGCTAATCCTTCACCTGCAAGCATCTGCATGCCGTATGGGGAGCCAGTTCATGTCCCAGTCGTTCCACTTCCCATCAGCTCCCTGCTTGTTCCCTGGGTGAGCAGTAGAGGATGGCCCAATGCCTTGGGACCCTGCACCCATCCTGGCTCCTGGCTTTGGATCAGCTCAGTTCCGGCTGTTGTGGCCATTTGGGGAGTGAATCAGCAGACAGAAGATCGTTCTGTTTCTCCTTCTCTCTGTAAATCTACCTTGAAAATAAGAATAAATCTCTCTTTTTAAAAAGATTTATCTTATTTTTATTGGAAAGTCAGATATATAGAGAGGAGGAGAGACTGACATGAAGATCTTCCGTCTGATGATTCACTCCCCAAGTGACCGCAAAGGCTGGTGCTGCGCTGATACAAGGCCAGGAGCCAGGAACTTCCTCCAGGTCTCCCATGTGGGTGCAGGGTCCCAAGGCTTTGGGTCATCCTTGACCACTTTCCCAGGCCACGAGCAGGGAGCTGGATGGAAAGCGGGTTGCCGGGATTAGAACCAGCGCCCATATGGGATCCCGGCGTATTCAAGGAGAGGACTTTAGCTGCTAGGCCATCGCGCCGGGCCCAAGAATAAATCTTTAACTTCCATTTAACTTTGAAGACCAGCTGCCTTCTTACAAAACCTGTCAGTGAATTCAGGTATCAGCTATAAATAAAATCCAGAAGCCTATTTTTTCCCCCTTAATTATCAGCATACAGCACATTCTATGTTCCTCCTTTCAGACAGAATGGTGAATGTAATAGTATTTTCCAAAGTCAGATCATAAGGTGATGGCAGTCATGGTCGTTCCCAGTTACAGGTCTGAGAAAGGAGCATAGAATTTCACTAAGTTCTGCAAATACACTTTATAGAAGAAAGCCTGCTCTTGGCTCCTGAGTGGCAGAAAAACAGGCAGAGGGCCAGCCTGCTGTGTGCCACCTGTCATCTCCACGGCCCATCAGCTCCAGACCTGCTTACAGCACATCCCTCAATCCCACTGGGCGTATTGAGCACCTCCTGTAGTTAGCGAGTACAGAACCCAGCAGTCCTTCTAAGTGTCCTGGGACAGCCTATGGAGGAGGGGCCGGGCAGCGTTTACTCTGCCATCCTCACACCACCCACTCATGGGCATGTGAGTGGCTCGTCCTCCCTACCCGCCTCCTCCCCCAAACACGACTTTGCTAAAAGTCATGCCCAGTGATTACATCAGGACTGACAGTAACTACAAGACATCCAGGCTTCCCTCTCACAGTGACGACATTCTGCGATTTCCCCAGCTGAGTCGGCGCCCAGCTTGGTTCGTCTAGCCTAGTCAGCGCACAGCCAGCAAGCAGCTCTGGGTTCCGAAAAGTGCAGAAATACAGCCCACAGCAAACCCTGGGAGCCAGACAGTCTCCCTGGGGGCTGTGAATGAATCGGCGCCCAGGCTCTCGCCTGGGGCAGTTGTTGTGCAAAGCTGGGCAGGGGAGGTGGCACTCGCTTGGAAGGATGTCCAACGGGCCGTGCTGGAGCAAGGATCAGGGCTCCCCATCGCCTTCTGCAGTCCCAGCTGGCTCTGCCGCCAAGCCCGCGAGCTGAGCCTCTGCGTATTATTTTTAGAAGATCTTTTCATTACATAAATAGCCCAAGCAGCATGAATCTCTCTACCACACTTAATTAACTTTGGAGGGGGTAGCAACAAGGGTGATTTTTTTAAGAAAAAAAAATGATCCTTATTTCTGATCAGGATTTTCTGAGTTTCTTCAATAGCTGGGTATGGGCCTTTTGGCATAGGACTGACATTGTAGTTTATGTTTAAGGAGTTTTTCCTTCTCTCTTTTCTGTTCTCTTCATGAAATATTTCCTTTTTTCCTAAAATAGATTGTAAAAAGGAGAGAGAGTTTACTACCCAAATGGTAGAAGCAAGGAATCAGGGGCTCCACCTAGGTCCAGCTCCTGCCTAGAAAAGCAGCAACAGATGGCCCACATGTTTAGGCCTTGCCATCCGCATGGAAGAACTTCTTGTCTCCTGGCTTTAGCCTGGCCCAGCCTGCTGTTGTAGCCTTCTGTTGGGCAAACCAGTGGATGCAAAGTCTCTCTTGTTCTCTCTTTGGCTCTCTCTCCCTCTCTCTTTCTATAAATGCTGCCTTTCATTATAAGTAAATCTTTTAAAAAGAAAGAGTTAATCTACAATGGGCTGATTGCTGTCCTAGGTGCTGGGGTATAGTAGTGAGTACATTTGATTCCTTTCTTCAAAGAATTTCCACTGAAGAACCACTTTTGTTGCATTTCCACTTAAAGCTCAGGGCTTGGAAGCATCCAGCAAGCTCTGCTGATGACAAATACTTTCACATTTTGTCACTTTAGAGGCAGGAGCAATGTCTCCTGTACTTTGTATTGAACTTGACTCTGCTGGACCTGCCACTCTGTGGTGTTAATAAGCCTCTGTATTTGTCCTCCAGCCAGATGATGGTCCATGTAGGCTGGCGACTGGACCTTTCTCACCTCTCTCCATCCATCCACCCACCCACCAACCCATCCACCCACCTAACCATCCATCCATCCATCCATCCATCCATCCATCCATCCATCCATCCATTCACCCATCCATCCACCCATCCATCCATCCATCCATCCATCCATCCATCCATCCATCCATCCATCCATCCATCTATCCATCCATCCATCCATCCATCCATCCATCCATCTATCCATTTACCCATGTATCCATCCATCTCCCCATCCACCTATCCATCTACCCACCTATCTATCTACTCATCCATACATCCATCCTCCCATTACCCACCCATCTACCCATCTATCATTTATCCATCCATCCATCCTCTCATCCATCCATCCATCCATCCAT